GTGGTGCTGCTCTTCTACTGCTACTGTCTCCTCCCGGACCCGCAGCTCATCTCCCGCTGGCAGCAGCAGCTCTGCACAACACTGCGCCTCACAGGCAAGGTAACGCTGACCTCTGACCCCCGACTGACCTGTCTTCACGGAGACTGACCCCTGACCTGTGTGTGTGTGTGTGGGGTTCTGCAGGTTCGAGTGGCGACCGAAGGAATAAATGGTACAGTGGGCGGAACCGCAACCGGCGCTGAGCTCTACATACAGACGATGCTCCGACATCCAGCGTTCAGCAGCATGCAGACGGAGGACTTCAAGGTCTCTCACACACACACACACACACACACACACACACACACACACACACACACACACACGATTAGATTCCTGTGTAAAATTGTAAAATGTCATGATCATCGGTGTGTGTGTGTGTGTGTGTGTGTGTGTGTGTAGAGAAGTGCCGGTGGTGCGCAGTGTTTCTCCGGCCTGAAGGTTGGTGTACACCGAGAGATCGTGCCGATGGGTGTGGATCCAGAGCTCGTCTCCTACAGATCCGCCGGTGAGACTAATTAGTGCCTAATTATAATTATAGAACTAGTATTATTAATGATCATCATCATTATAGGCATCACGGTGGCGCAGTGGTCAGCACTGTGGCCTCACAGCAAGAAGGTCTCTGGTTTGAGTCTGGGCTGGGTCAGTTGGTGTTTCTGTGTGGAGTTTGCATGTTCTCCCCGTGTTGGCGTGGGTTTCCTCCGGGTGCTCCGGTTTCCCCCACAGTCCAAACACATGCGCTATAGGGGAACTGATCAACTACACTGGCCAGAGTGTATGAATGAGTGTGTATGGGTGTTTCCCATTACTGGGTTGCAGCTGGAAGGGCATCCACTGCATAAAACATATGCTGGAATAGTTGGTGGTTCATTTTGCTGTGGCGACCCCTGATGAGTAAAGGAACTAAGCTAAAGGAGAATGAATGAGTGAGTGAATTATTATTATTATATTAATAATTAATCTCGGTGTAGTTGATCATTAATTCACTGCTAGTTATTTACTGACTCTCAGGGCCGTTTATATTGAAGCTGATATTTAGCCACAGCATGTTGGTGTTTCATAACATCTCATTTCTATGAGGTGCTTCATTTCCCCAACGCTCAACCCACAACCTGGAGGACCAGGACACACAGTCATACAGTACTGGGAAACACCCATACACACACACACACACACACACACACACACTCATGCACTAGTGTCAGTGTAGTTGATCAGTTCCCCTATAGTGCATGTGTTTGGACTGTGGGGGAAACCGGAGCACCCGGAGGAAACCCACACCAACACGGGGAGAACATGCAAACTCCACACAGAAACACCAACTGACCCAGCCGAGACTCAAACCAGAGACCTTCTGTCTAAAAATAAATAAACCAGTCAAATCACTGGCTGAAAACTCTGCATTTAGCCCATCATTAGGGCCAGACAGAATCTGTGGACATCATTTGCTGTTTCTGTGCAGAATTGTGTGTTAAATCTGCAGATTTATGCTGAATTATTTTGGTAGTTTCATAATTAAAACCCTAATATATGGAGTAAAAAGTAAAAACTTTTAATCTTGTATTTAATGTTTACAACGCAAATCCAATTAGATCCACTTATTTATTTAATATCTCTACTAAAAGACAGAGAAATTACTGAAACGATAAATAAATCATATAAATATTTTCGTATTATCAATAATATTACTGAAATAATTTACAAACTTTACATGAGTAAATAAACAGACTCAGCGGGCTAAACATCTGCACAGTTCTGGGCGTGCAGACTCCGTGTGGGTCTAGTCATCATTTACTTTTCATTTCAGGTATATT